TAATTTTATGTCCACAGGCAGCATGAGACCATTCCTGTAGTGGATAATCTCATCTTCAGTCACAGTGTTCTGTGACAGCAGCCTACAACAGTGGCAGAACATCTTCCCAGCTGTTAAACTGTTTACTTTACCTGTGCAGAAGGTTAGCATTTGGTTTTATTTAAAATAATTGTGACACCAAGGCTGCTGCCTACAAGTTAAATGATCAGTGAATCTTCTATTTCCATAATAATATGGGACTGCTGCGGGTAAAATGATTTCTTATTGACAAAGAATAAATACTTACCTGTCAAACTTTCCATGATATGACTATTAGCACAATCAACAGAATAACAGAAAAGACAGTGAGAATCAGAGCAGAATCTTTTGTGATAATAAAGAGAATTTTCCATTACTTCATTACTGTCATCTGGACAGGACTATGTGATAAAAAGTTTCATTGGGAATTCAATATATAACAAGTTCTTTCACAGCTCAGTAAGCTAAAAAAATTCCAAACCAAAACACAAAAGCTTTAAGCAGATAAATTAATGTCACATATGACTATAGTTTTGCTGCAGCATTTTTCCCAAAACTGGCTGATGCTAACAGTAAAGTCCCACTACATAAGAGACTTTAGAAAAGATAGATGTCTGGGTCCTTCCAAGGCTTTTGACTACTACATTGACATTCTTCTTGCAGCTACTGATGAATTTGCCTAGAAAGAATGAACAGATCAAATAATTTAAAGGAAATTAGACAGTCCAATACAGCAGAAAGAGGGGTTTTGTTTTCCTGGCAGGAGCAGATAACATATTTCCTGAACAAAACCCCTTTTCCACTAGACTTCCTACACCAGCTTGCTAGACTATTTATCTCTGAGCAGCAGCCCATCAGTCATTAAAAAAACAGGTAGGCAGAATCCAGGATCTTAAACGCACAGATAAAAACAGTGAAACATCCATCTATTGCACTGAACGTAAATCTAACCAAACTGGACTGCTGAAAGAACACACTTTCATCAGCAGTATTTACTGCTACACTGTTGTCAGGATCATGATGGCCATAACCAAGGATAAGAAAACATTTGCTTTGATAACCTATGGTTCCGAAAATATTTAGATGCAGATCAGTCCCCAAGGATCCCATTTCACGGTCCTTCCTTACACTTTCAGCTCATTTTTATGAATTCCCTAGCCTTTAATGGATGCAGCTGTAATCCTGCAAAGGAGCCTTGCTTGAACTGGTTGTAGATAAACACACACTGAATCAGAACTATGCAGAAAGCCTTCTGGAGAATCTGAGAAGCCAGGCCATGGTGTTTGAAAACCAAGTATGCTTCAACCACTTCTTTAAGAGTTACAATTAAATTCCAGTATAATGTACAATATCCATATACTCCAGCTATTTGAGGCAGGGATGTATGCTGGAGCAGTCTCAGAGTTAATTTATGGAGCCAACCATCATTTGGAATCTCTGCTGCAGAAAAATCTAAAACTCTGAATCTAAAATTCCCAGTAAACTATGCTCTAAACTCAAAGCACAGATCTGAGACTCACTATGTGATATCATTACTTTCTAGGAACAGCTAGCTGGAAAAATAAATGTCTCAAGTGTATAAATGTTTTTGTTAGATTTTTTGCAAGTAATTCACTATGGAGTTGATGTTTTATCTCTAAAGGTGAGTGAGTCTTACCAGGAGATGCTATGTTTGATACATATGTTGTGGTTGGGATCTGCAGTAGGCCAGGTGCACTAACATATAGGAATGACAAAAGAGGAGATTTTAAGCCTAAGGCACAAATTACCAATGCATTCTAAATAAAGGATCATTGTTCCTGCTTCCTTTTCTTCAGTGAGCAAGACAACAAGGGGTAAGGGTACCTCTCCACCTTTTGACTCGCCACTTCAATTAGGAAAGCTATATTTGGACTTTTTTCCCTCCTCATCCTGGAAGAACATCTTACAATGACTTCCACAATACAAGACATGTCTATACCACACTGCAGGATGAAGACTGTGCTTCTGCAGAAACTTCCCACCTACTGCATTTCAGCTGACATCACAGGGAAGTCTTAGAGAATGTGATTTGGATAAAAACAAACATGAAAATGCATTTCAGGAGTGCACCTACTTTGTTGCAAACAAACATTAAATCCCCAGCTCTAGAGTTAGTGTGAGGCAAGTAATTATGAAATATAAAGCATCACATCTTCTCCAAAAATTGTTCTCTAAACAGCTGTTCTAACTCAACTGCACTACTTAGTAAACATTGCCACAGAACCCTATATAGAATGGATGCTTACAAAACATTCCCAAGAGGAAACAGAGAGGTAGAAGAGGAGAGAGTAGCTTGAAATCAACTCATTGCTTCAAGCTCAGCTAAACCAGCTGAATGGTTAACTCTGCAGAAAAAATGTGCTCTATGAAAACTGAAATAGGCAACAGATACCTGCAAACATCTACATTTGTTGTCTCCTCTCAAGGGATTCTAAAGATCATGGTCGTTAATGGGATTGGGATTATCTCACTGGGCAAACACATGTTATTTTGAGAATTCCTGCACAGGAGCAACTAAAATGAAAAGCTAACTCAACAATCAGTAGGTTAATATACTTATTTTACATAAGTTTGACTTTCCTGAAGATGAAAAAACATGTACATTTCCTTACTTGAAGGAAATAGGTCAGGCAAATAAGACTTGTTTGACTGATAGGGGAAAGGGAAGGGAAAACCCCCAATGTATTCTTGAATTAAAAAGAGGCAAATTAGTGGATTTGATTGAAACACAGCTAAATACACAATGACTTAAACTCCAATCCCAAAGAAAAGGCTCTTCTGAAGTTTTCCTGCTTTACTTACATGATTTTCTCATAAAGAATCTAACAGTTTTGGAAAGATTGCTCAGAACAGTTTAAGTAACAAACCAAAATTACCTATTGGTGTCAACCCCTCCTATGAATGCTCTTATTTTCCTTCCACTGCAAAGAAGGTGTGTTGAATGGCAATTCTATATATTAGGTGATTTGAGTATCAGAAATGTAAAGAGATCTTCAAACTGTGATTTGTCTTTTGAATATATACTTCTATCTTTGCTAGTGAAAAAGAGATTTGGGTAGAAACTAGACACGCCAGTATTAAAGATTTTCAAAGTCTTCATGAGCACAGTGTTAGGTTCTCTCAATGTACATACTGTGAGACCTTTGCAGAAGTCAGTCTATATTAAAAAGCACCACAGCAAACATTTTATGCTAAGTCAGGAAGCAGCAGTAATTGTGTGCCTTAATTTTTCATTGTAGTGCCCTAATGCAGCTGCTAAACACTGATAAAAGTTTTGTAAAACTATGTAAATATAAACATTTATAACATGTCCTTTCCTTATCCACTACAGCTTATTTAACACCACAGACAATTTTTGAATATACTTATTCTTCCCAGAGGACATTACCTTAGGCTTGTCTATACTGAGTTTGGTTCCAATCAGTCTGTCTCCATCCACTCTGCTTCTCTAGTTTTGACTAATTTTAGAAAAGCTGTGATCATCAAGTTCTTGCATGGCAGTTCTCTTCTTCAGATCTGGAGACGCACAGTCCTCAGCTTTATGTTTTGGAAAATTAAATATTTCTTTCTGAATCAACTCACTATAATTAACTAAATACTGCTTTTTAGAAAAACCCCAAAACAACCAACCAACCAACTGCACTATGCAGAAACACACCCCCTCCCTTCATATTTTACTAACTCAGTCATGTAAGACTGCAATCCTTCATGACAAATGCCACAGGCATAGAGTGGTTATGAGCTGCCAGAGTACAGGATTAACTCAATTTACATTACAGTACAGCAATTTCAAACACAGCACCATGAAGTGTAATGACACAGTTAAATATGTTGGCACAGGACCAGTAGGGCTTTTGTTACCTTTTAACATGTACTACTACCCCTCTTCAGAACATGGTGTCTCCTTTTGGCAATTCCCCTTTGCCACGCATTCCCCAACAAGTGCCACAATCCATGGGTCCAAATCTGTGGATCTTGTGAGACCCAAGATCAGGGCAGGCTAACACTGTTCTCCCATCACTACACTTTCTCAAGGCTCAGTAGTGAAGAGTCCATAAATATCTGTTCAACTCTATTCTGGCTCTGACCTTGGCACAATTTTCTAAAGAAGCAACTTTGTAAACTTTACAGAAAATTCTCTGATTCTTAATCCAAGATTTCTTTGATTCAGGAGTACATCTTCTCTTCTGCACCTTTTTTAAAGTAATCCTAGACTTGATGCTGAACTGAAAATCCAGGAGCTTCCTGCCAAACAGAACAACAGGTGAAATAGGAGCAGCTGAAGCACATGTCATTTCTCACTGAAGTACCTCAGACCTGACCAACAGGATGGCACAAATGGCAGAAGTGAAATTCACTTCCCACGAACTATCTAAATAAAAAAAAAATTCACACTGAATTTGAAGACACTATAGAGAGAAGCAGTAAGTTCTCTTCTCATCACCCTGACCATTTATTTTTAAGTCTCTGCTTTTATTCTGGTTATCCAAGAACATGTTCAATCACCATATCAAAGCTTAGTAACTCCCAATAGGATAAACTGCCCATCTGTAACAAGATCACATACAAAGCTAAGTATGTTCTTGAGAGGATTACAAATCTTTCTGCTAGATTTTGATCACCTTGCCCACACATCGGCTTCTTGCAGTGGTCAATGGAAAAAATCCAAAAACCCACACAGGCAAACTTATAATATGCTTTTGCACAATTTCTTAGTGAATTGTGATTGCTTCTGTTCTCCCTCTTTGACTATCCAGACAAGCTTAATGCTGGTACCACTGGAAATACCTGGCTTCATGCACATTTTTTAACGCAATTACTTTCAACATTCTCCTTGGATCTTCCAGGAAAAAAAGTTTTTGTTTCAAACCAAAATTATTAAAAATTAAGAAATTATTTTATTACAAATAACAAAATCTCTGTCCCATGATACAAAAGTCTTTGAAACTACTCAGCAGCTTCTATTGAAATCCCACCAGTCTTCTTATTTCTTGATAGATAGGAGCAGCCAGTTCTTTGGCTTTTTCTGCTCCATCCTCTAAAACCTTTACCAGATGGGACTTGTCTTCCTGGAGTTTCTTGATTTCATTCCTGATAGGTGCAAATTTTTGGATAACGGACTCTGCTACCACCATTTTGTAGTGAGCAGTGTCGAGATCAGTGGCTTGGTGCAGCACTTCTTTGATGCTAAGCCCCGTTACTGCAGCGTGAATGGACACCAGATTGGAGACACCGGGGCGAGCGATGGGGTCATAGGTCACCTCCGAGGTAAAGTCAGTCACAGCTTTGCGAAATTTCAGCACTATTTCATCAGGGCTGTCTGCTATGTTAACAGTAGCTAACTTCTGTGGGTCTGACTTGGACATCTTCACTGATGGATCTCTGAGGGATTTTATTTTCTTTGTTGGACCTTTAAAAAAAAATATAAGCACAGACAATGGTTTCTTATGATAATTGCTAAGAACAATGTGCAGTTATATGATGAAGCTGTTTATCCTTGCTCAAAAATGAATTGCAAGGACAATCATGTATGCTCTGTTTAGTCCTTGCACCCTTCCTGTCCTTCTAAGAAGCTACCTTTCTCCTCTCATAAACTGAATGAAGCTTGTTCCATCTCTCCCATCTTCACTAAGCACAAAATTCTGCTGGGGCTACTCCTAATATTTTATGGGGCTTGCATGCTGATTTCCCCTCCAAATTTCTCCTCCCTTCTATTACTACACATTACTGAAAGGCTCTGAGCAGTGGAGAAACAGGTTAACTCCACTGGTAAAAAAACCAGTAAGAATCACGTAACAGTTAATCTCTTTATTTCAGGAAACTCTTCCACTCAAAATCACTTGGCAATTCTCCTAAATCTCAGTAAAAACAGTTATTAAAACTCTCTAACTCAAAACTAACCAACTCTGTTAGATGTAAAGCACTGTTCAGGTAAGAAAGGTGTGGGTATTGTACAAACTGCTAAGATACATGCATGTACATGAAATAGATTAGTAGCATTAGGAGAATGTTGGAAAGTACTTTAAAAGCATCAATGCACTCTGTTTCAGTTTTTCACCAAGAAATATAATTCATGGAGTATATAAAGTATCACTTATCCACAGAGTACTCACACCAATTATTTTTAGAAACCTAATACAGCCAACTAAATTACCTGCATATTGCTCATAGTTGGCTTATGTACTCAGTGAAAGGATAAGAGTTGTTCCAGCATACAATTCAGATTGCCCCAGAAAGTGCTTTGTTCTGAAATCACCTATTGTAAGAGTCTGTCCCTTTTCTGCAAATTTGAAAGAGTCCAGGTAATTCAACTGTCTACAGCTAGTGAGTCTGAATAGATCCCTACCTTCTCCATTCATCTAGGATATTTTGTTGGTTTGCATGTACTTGTGAACTTAAGAAGGAATGCTTTTTGGGAGCAAATTGAAACGTTTTTTTCTTTTTCAAACTGAGCTTTTTATTTAATGGTCAAGAGTCTCACTGCATTATAGGTTACACTCAGCTCCTCTTTATAGTGCTTAGTGCTCAATTAGAAACTGCAGTGTGCAACCCCTAATATTCTCAGAACTCCACTCTAGGTCTAACATCGTTTTTGTCACTGAGGCTTGAAAATCGAGAAAGGTTTATTACTGCCTGTCTTTTCTAAGGTGAGAATTCCTTGCCCTTTTGGGGGCGAAGGTCTCTGCTGTGCATTCCTCTCCATTACTTACAACAAAGATGCAACGCTTCATCCTTGCCCAATTATTCACGTTTCTTAACAAACATGCCATTTGCGCCATCTGACTCCTCCTCACCCCCCGGCCTATGACCTTATTGCTCAAAAATGGCTGAGAAGATTTTCCTTATAAGTTTTCCTGAGTCTAACATCAAAACCATAAAGTCTTAAGCTCTCTGACAGATACATATTGAAATACTCAAGTATATATTAAACACTCTTAAAAAAAATTGGAGCACTGTACATATAAACCAACAGGCTGTTCAGCATGCTTAAAGTAAACATCTCCCACTCGGACACTGAAGAATTCTGCTTGCTAGAGGTCTCTTGCCTTGCTGCTAACATGTCTCCTGAATGAGCAACATGGAACAGAGACACTACTCTTAAAAAGTCCAGAAGTCCTTGAAGTCCAGAAGTCCTTGAAGAGCAAGGCTGACTGGCAGCAATAGAGTGCATCTGGCCCTCCGGACTAGAATACCAGACGTCATGTACATTCCTCGACCATGGATTTCTAAAGTCCTCTATCTATCTTGAAAGTTCATTTTCATAGCCTCTAGTCTCTTATTGCCACTTTTTAACTTTCCACTCCCTTAATATCAGATTGCCCCCTTTTCTTGGTCCCTGAAACTATTTCCACAATATTTAAATCAATCTTCAACTTCAAGTACAGTTAAGGGAAAAAAAATAACCAAGATCAGCTCACTTAAAATGGCTTTGGGCACAGGAAAGAATTCTCCATATTTCTTGTTGAAATGTTGTGCTATATCTCGGGCTAGTTCCAGGTGCAGGACTTGATCTTCTCCAACAGGAACACGTGTTGACCTTTTAATAAAAGACAGACACAGGAAACTCAGCAAAGCTCTCTGATTCTGCTGAAATGTTACTCAAGACTGTCACAGCTTCTGCCATGACTGAGGGCCGGATTGAGCCAAACACTCAGTCCCAGCTAGATATAGGTGCTGTGGGAACAAGATCCCAAACTGATGGGATGACTCTGCTTTTTGAGCTGAACTGAAGCACATAACCAAGGGCAAAAATCGCCCTTTTGTGAAGACATATACAGCAAAGATACCTGTAAGAGCAACTCATTAAACTCAGCTCAAAGAAAGGTTTCTGTAGTATCTCCTGCTGCCTCTTCAGAGATCAAAGAGTACATTTTATAGTATGCAAACGAAGTAAGAAAGATCTGCAAGGCATCAAGTGCAAGCACCTTGCCATGTCAAGTCTCAAGAAAACATAACTGTTGAGGAGTTAATACTGAGGAGGTTACAAAGAGAAGGAAAGAAGAGAGTGTTTCTTCCCCATCACAATATTATAAATCATGTGATCCAGCACCTCTATTGTCACAAGTGTTGTTAGAAGATTAGAACTGCTAGATTCAAAGGATAACGTGATCTTCTGTATTGCACTCAACGGCTTGAATACGCTTTTGGAGGGAAACACAATCTGCATCAGAGAACATCAGGAGGTGAAGAATCCATTACTTCCCCTGGTGGTTCTTTCCCACAGTTAATCATACTTGCTAAAAATGTTCTTTTAGATGAGGCAGTCTTGAAATCTTGCCAGCTTTTGATTACTCTCCCATCCCCCAGCAGATTTTTTTTCTAAGGGTTATGGGGTATTCAGCTATGAATACTGGACATATTCCAAAGTAAGAAAGCTCACTATGCATCTTTTAAATTCCCAGAAAATTTCAGATCAACACGGTACTCTTTCCTTCTGATTCTGAATTACTAGGCTGACATGCAGGAATCAATTTGTCCATCTTTATTCCCAACCAGTCAGCAAGGCAACCTAAAAACAGTTACAGTAGTCAATAGGAAATCACAGTTCCCTATAACTGAGAGAAAATCAGTTACCATAATCAATATACTTTAAGCAGGTCAAAAGAAATGTTTCCATATGCCAAAATGGTTCCATATTCACAAAGTTTGCCACTAAACGGAAAACATATTATCTCTATAAAAGTCTCTGCACAATACCTTACCTTTTTCCTTGCTGGCTTTAAAAAAAATATTTCTATTCTGGCGCTATTTTTACTCCTTTCTGTCATATATTTACCTTATGTCCATTTTCCTGTCTCTTTGATCCTTGGTTCATCTGAGCTAGTACTGTTTTTCTGCCTCCTCCAGCTCTAAATTCTACTTCATGACTGCTGTTTTCTTCCTGTGTTTCCGTTTCTCACCATTTCTTGTTCCTCATATTATTTTGTTGACATTAAAACATTTCTTATTAAAGATATTAAGTCAAATTTCTTCAAAGATATATTGTTTCTCTTTCACTTCCTTGTTTTGTGCTCTGTGTGGACAGCCTGCTGTTAACATAGATAGTAGTCAAGAAACCACTGGCTTAACTAAGAAAAGATGGAATACCCGGTCTTATTAGAGATGGAAGAGACAGACATGGTTGAGTTCCATCAAAACAACGTGATTTCTGATAAAGTTGTCTAAATTTCACCCTTCAATACTTGACACTCAAATCACTCAAATATTTGACAATCAAGTGGGACTCACTTCAAATAAAGTTACAATATTGTATTTGAATATTATCATTATAATATTAAAATTAATTCTGACTTTTGCTTGCTTCCTGGTATTTCTAGATAAAATTCAGGTAAATTAGAAATACCATCTCTTGGTCTTCTAACAGTCCTGTTTTCCCTACTATGATCAATTAACATGAAATTTATCTAGATACATTTTTCTGAGTTCACAATTGGTTAATCTTGATTAGTCTGACCTGACATCCTTGTCCTCAGACCTGTGCTACTTCTCTGTCTCAACCAATACTCACAACTTCCTTCAGAACAATGACACAAAGTATATATGCTCTGAACATAAAAATAATTCATACATGGTGCCCTGTCCTTAACATTTACTTACTGAGACAGTTTAAATAATATTATGATATAATATTATGAAATATAGCCAGTCATGACAATGCTCTACAAATTATGTCATCCAGGCTACAGGTTTAGGGCATGCTGAGTCCTCAGTTGCTCACTAGGCTACTTCCACTGCAGCACACAAAATTGACAAAACTGAGCCAGCCCAGGTTACTACAAGCTGCAGTCAGTAACTTAATCTTTTTCATCAGTATGAACTGGCCTACACAGAATCCCCTACTAATACTGGTGTACTACATACAGACAGTTTAAGTACATCTACAGTACACTGCATAAAATAAAGCATAACTACTTTAAAAGAAGTGTATCTGTGTGAATGTGTAATATGCATAATTAAACATCCGTCTGTTGTAATTCCCTAAGAATTATTCTCACGTGACCAGCTGTTGCTCTTTACAGTCCTGTCAGTAGCTTTTTAACCAGGCTAGATTTCAACCCGCCACTTGAGAGTCTGTCATCCATTTCCAATCTTCTGATCTAATCACACCCAGCTCCCCTGCTCAATAAGTCAGCACGTTGACCTGACAAGCATTCATTCCAATGTAGCTGAACGACATTGCCCATGGGCTCACATTCTGCCTCTTACTTGTACAGCAAAATATCTGCTGCTTGAAGCACGGGGTAAGTCAACAAACCAACAGTTCCTTCGCTATTCTGGCTGGCACGCTTCATCTGTTTGGAAAAGAAAAACAGAGATGAATCACACTTTTGACTAATGGTATCAAAGTCCAGGATTTTAATTAATTAGAATTCTGAATAACTGAGTAATTTATTATGTAGCTCTATAGAAGACAGTGTCATGTAAAATCCACTCCTTATGAATGTATTCTGGTTTATGTCCTATGTTTATGAATTTCCCTACACTGTTCTGAAATTCTAGTGAGAAGGGAACATAGGGTTTCTTTTGTTTTCCATTTGTAACCTTCTTAATGGAAACGATTTCACATGCAAAACCATCAGGCTGGGTTATTATATTTGTATATTACACATAAATTCTACTTTTAAAATAGTGTCTTCAGCAATAAATTTTTGTAACACTTCATAATGAAGATACAAAAAGGTATTAATACCTGTGTTAGAGATCAAGACACCGTGATCACACAGTCACCATGATAGCCAGTGACAGCTGGGAGAACCTGTGACAGTGACAGCTGACAGAACTACAGGGGCAGAGTCCATTGTTGTCTCTGTCAGCTCACACTGCTCCCCACAATCCACCTAATGCATTCTTATGCTCCCTGATATGGATCACCTAGAACAAGACAGTCAGGCTACAAACACAAATTCTGTTCTAGCTATGGCATATCTATGTTTTACTCTTAGCAACAGTTAAATGTACTAACCCCCTTGAAATCTGAATTATTTCATTAAGACTGTTCAAATATATTTAGACTTGTCTCACACTCTCCAACAGATCCTGTATTCTGTCTACATCTCTAAGTGCCTAGGGTTCAAGGAACCTAATCTGCAAAGCCTTGCACCTGTAACACCTATCTGTAGGTCTGGAAAGTCAATCCAGTCAAAGTAGGATTTAAGAGCTTAACTTTAGAACCTTAGGTTTGAAAAGGTTTGCTTTAATCTATGCCATGCATTAACACTGGTTGCTGTATTTAAGTTTTACTGGTTTTATTTAATTAAGAAGGAAAACAGGAAAAAAGAAAACATCTGGAGGTATTTAAGACTGCTGTGAACTCTGCAAGCCAAGCTGCTCTTAAGCGGTTGGGTTTTTTTTTCCTTTTTCAGATACTTCTCTCTCCTATCTTTTTCTTTTTCTGCTCACTAAATGTCAAAATAAAATACAAGGAAATTAAATGCAAGAACTCTCTTGATGCAGTCATGCTGATGCAACACTGAGATTATGAAGATGAACATTTGAAGCTTGTAAAGGCAAACATTTAAGATACAATATCACTCAGCACATTTTTAATATTTATAATTTCTATACTCCTCTTCAAACATATGCCTCTTTTTAACACTCTTCCATAAAATTTACAGAGCAGCCACTCTTTATAGTGGAAAACGAAAAGCTGTTTACAGAACTCCTTAATCAGGAAGACCCAAGTTTGCCACTGCAATATCTTGCATCACTTTTGCATTATTAAATAAGCATTGAAATAACACTGAATGTTCTAGCAAAATCAGTTTTATAACAGTAAACAAACTTCATGTTTAGTACAGTTTTTCTGCAAGTCTCTGACAAAAACACCATTCTGTAGCTTTCAGCGGGAAAATGTTCACTAAGAGGAACAGACCTGGAGAGACATGTTTTCTCCTTTCCACCACAGGACTACAGAAACCTTAAACCTAAAGCAAGAATAACCAAGGTACAGCTGGTACTTCATAGATGAAAAGTACTTTCAGGGCAACATTTCTCCTGAATTCCCATAAATTTCTTTCAAATTTACCAAACAGTCCATACCTTCCACTGGGGCAAACGTAGCAGACGTGGCACATTAGTTAAGCACCCAAGAATCCAGGCAAGTTCTGCATGCTCAGGAACCTGAAAGTATGAAGTTAGAATCCATTTAAATCTTCTTATTTTATATGCATATTTTCTCAAAGTCAATAAGAATAAATTGCATCAAAGACCAGAAAACCATTTATTTCTGTATATTACTTTTTCAGTAAGGTCAAATGACAAGCTAATGGAAAGTTTTGGACACTGCCAGGATTGAATGCTTTACATTAAAATAGTATAGCAAGGTTTTTGATCCTATCCACTCATATTATAAACAAGAAAGAAAATGCTTTAGCAATAGCAGAGTTGAACACATATGTAAACTCCTTTGCTTGCATACTTGATTCACTCTTTGCAATATTGGCAGGGTTCAATCTTTAAGAGCATGCTAACTGTATCAAAGACGTTCAAAACTTCATGCCTGCAACATGATATAACAACCCAGACAGAAGGCAGTAAAAAGTGTTTGTTAATAATTAAGAATTACTAGGATTATTAATTGCAATTCCTTTGTTGTCACATTTTAAGTATACTGATTTCCTAGCTAGCAGTCATTAGACTACTTTGGTCACCAATGTGTAAAAGTATCCAACCTTCAGGCTACAGCTCAGTGGTTAGAAATATTTCAGTTTGATTCTTTCCCTTCTTTATGCCTTTCCCACAGATTCAGGGTTTTTATAAATTCCCTCATGCTTATTTGACCTGCAATCTTCTGTGCACAAGACAAAGTGCAACAAAATACCGGAGTAAAATTAACTTCACGGAAAATACGAAGCACAAGACTCCTATTTCATCTAGAAGGAAACACCATCTGGTTCAAAGTGGTTTTTCATTTCTTTCTTCTAGTCACGGATGGAGAGGAGATGGTGCTCTGTTGCACTTGTGTTGACAAGAACCCTCTTTAAAAGCTATGCAGTCATTGATTCGGCTCTGTCAGATGTTGATTTCGCAGCCAAGACTGCACGTGTGTTTCACTGGATCGGTGGATTTGACATTACATCAGTTACCAAAACACAAAGTGATCTAAACAGCATTTGTTGGGTTGAATACACAGTTCTGGGTCCTACCAAGTTATATTCATTTCCCATCTTCAAACACCAAGTCCTTTCCTAAGTAAGACTAAAGTGCTGAATAAGCTGAAGAAAAAGCCTGATAAAACAGGGACAAAAGATGTAAAAGCATACCAAAGTGTAAAGATTTAAGTTGGAATAAAATTCAATATCGGAGGCTAATGAGACAGCATTCATCATTCAAATTACAGCAACTGACTGTATATTGGTGTGTGAATCAGGAGGTTCTAGGCTTAAACCACAAATCACTTGTCAGACTAAATCACGGTTTAAGCTACTGTGTTTTACTTGTCAAGAGGGGCAGGTAATTGCTGCCTTTGGTTGGTCATGGTGCATCTGCCCAAATGTTGCTCATTTAGCTACAGTATTCCATCACATTGATTGCACAGATTTGATACAAAGAAGTTGGAAGATGTGATGATGTATATGACACCAGCAGAATAAAGGCTCAGTCTACTCCTCTGTTCACTGAGCAATACCCATGGATCACAATCAGGACAAGACATTCACACAAACTTAATCAGCTTCTTGCTGCAGGTCTATTTAAAATGGCAGGCAAATGTCTTAATTAAACAACCAAAATACAAGAATGTAAGAAATAACACTGTACTGGATCACAACAAAGACAATGCAGTCTCGTGCTCTGTTTCCAGGAGTAGCATGTGGGGCAAACACATGAGCCTCCTGCTTCTTACGAGTATCTTCCCCTCATACTTCTCCAGCATCCATAATCGTTGCACTGGGGAATATCAGAAGGTATTATCCCTGGCCCAGTCCTGGCAATGTATCAAGATTCCCCAGGAATGTGTCTTCTGAACCAGCTGATTCTGCCCACTTCATAACCCCATGGTGCAGCAAGCTCTAGAAGCTTAAACCTGATGTGTAAAAAAAGAATTGAGCCACTAATGTATCCATGTTTGTTTACTGGTTTTGAATACCATCTCTTTCTTATATTGCACAATTTGGTGAACAATTCCATATCCAGCTGATTCAGTGTTTTTCTGATTTTGTAAAATTTGATTGCATAGACGCTGTAGCCTTCTTCTCTTTAAACTGAAGCAAACCTGACTTGCAATTTTTTCCTTCTTAAGGCAGCTACTTTATCCCCTGCTGCATGAATTCCTCTCCTTTGTATCATATTAAATTAATTAGTTCGTTCTGGAGATGTAGACTATAAAACTTTACCCAATATTCAAAAAATGGGCACACTAAGGTTTTGTATGGTGATCATCTCTGTCTTATTCACAATACCCTTTCTGGTGATGTGGTGATGACATATCATTAGCTTTTCTGAAAACTGCTAGTGTCGAGCCAATGACTTCAGAGAACTGTCAATCATGACTCCATGACTTTCTTTCCTGCATTATGTGAAGAAGGTTTAGAATACTTTCACCCAGATGTTTTAAAGCATTTAAAGCTCTTCTACCCCGTATTTGCCTGTCCACTCTGTTTCATGAGTTCTTTTGGAATTCCTTTCCTTGACATAGCATTTGGCTACCCATAAACTCTTGGCATTGCCCATGAACTTCTGTTCACTACCTTCTTCAGGTCATGAAGGAAGAGGTTGACCAGAACTACTCCCAGCAAATATCCCTGAAGAACATGACTGTTCACTGTGCCATTCAAAAAAAAGTAATCATTACAGCCTACGTGGCTTTCAACAATGAAATGAAAGGAAATAGAGAAGAGACATCTCATATTTGGATAAATCTACAAAACAATTTCCAGTTGATTCCTATTGTGTTAGGTAGTGTTTATTGTGCCATCACAAGGAAAGAAGCATGACTTTTCACAAAATTTTCATTAAAAAGAGTATGACTGCTTGAGAGGTGTTCTGCTTGCTTTTTTAGTTTATTTTTTTCAAGGTTACCCAATCGAACTAGGATTTCAAGAAATAAAACTATAAAGAGTTCCAATTAATTCAGGCTATTCTGTGTATACTTTAACCAGTATAAACTGGTTAATTATAAATAAAATTATTATAATTTTATATTATAAATTCTAACTCAACTTCTTTTGTGTTTTAAAATCTGACAACGAACTACTGTCCAGAACTACGATGTACTTCAGGAGTTACCCAGGTTTTCAAAAGAGAATAGATAATAATAAATTTAACTCTTTTCCAATGAAGACATACTTTTCTCAGTGTGCCCTCTCCCCCAAATACATCAGTATAAGAACAATATAAATGGTAGAAAACCAGAATTACATCTCCTATTAACAAAACTCACAACCAGTGACAGTTCCTGAACTGTATGTCAAACCTAACTTCAAGAATATTACAATCACTGGTAATTCTGAAAACCAGCTATCTAATCAATTAAATCCTTCAGGTCAACTTCAGCTACTTTTGTGTCCTTAAAAAAATATAATTGCCTGTTTTCAGTATAAACATTCTTTTCTTGGGAAATATTTCTTGCAGACCTGCTGAAAATATTTCCAGAAATACCAGTGTTTTAAGTGCTCTATTTATTGTTTCCCTTTACAAAGTCAACTATTTCCCATTAAAAATTTTCTAAAAAATCTTAACCACATCCATATAGCAATCACCCTTTTCCAGCCCAAATCCTACCCCTTGCTCTTCTCAGTAAATACAAGTTTCTCTCTTTTCCCCTGCTCTGTGCTCTTGCTCATTTTAAGTTTTCTCTCCTAATCTCATACAAGTCTGTAAAAACCATCAACATTTCTCAAAGGGTTAAGACGGTCATCTCTATGCTATTACCAGGAACACATTTCCTCCCTCACTCTCAATTGCATTAAGCATTCTCCACAACCTGGCTTACTAATCACTAATCAGAGTTATTTGCAGACCAAACTACTTACATTCCTTCTTAGTGGCCTGACAAGGCCAAGGCTGCATAGCCAGATTCCTTTTTCTTTTTATTTAAAGCACACGTATTTAACAGAGGTGACCACTTCCAAACGATAATGAGCAGTTCTCTAAAAGGCACAAACATTTCTGTTTGTTCACCTGAGTGCCCTGCTCTTCCCTTTTAAAAGACATATAGCTTCTTAATTATTTACTTGTGCAGCCATGTGAAGTTATTAAACTCAGGTCACAATTTATACTTGGATAATCTCTGGAGCTTTATATGCTGAAGTACAATCTCAGGGCTTCTTCCTGCAGATCAATTTTTTTTGTCCTTGATCCTAGCTATTCCTTACCAAATTATTGCTGATATTCCCTGGCCAGAGCCAATGAAATATGCATGGAAAAACAGTAGCTACTTCAAGTCCAAATAATTCTAGATAACTTTTTATGATGAGACATACAGCTGAGGAAGACAGCAAGCCATGAGATTCAAGAACAGTGGGAGAGGCATGAATACTGGAAGCAGATCTGAAACCAACCAAATCAGCAACAGTGGGCCTCAGCTTTCTGAGGTTATAATACAAAGTTGTATGTTGGCAGCTGAACTGGCTTTCTGCAAGAAGTGATGCAGTGTTTTATTTTCAAGATCGATTTCCTCAAGTTGCAACCCATAGCCCTTCTCTGTAAGGCACTGCAAATTTGCTGCATATCTATCATGTGGAAACAGCTTTCCCTCAGTAGTTAACCTCATTAAGGGCTACATTTTAAAGGGGCAGTAAATTTAAAAGATTTAATTTTGATAGAGTACAAACAAATAGTCTCAGGAGGTAATTTGGATAGCTGTGTACTAAAAGAAATTGGAACAGAGAAGGGAAAGAGTCCTACACTTAAAAAGAAATTTTTTAGGACTTTTGTCTCATCTAGAAGTACCAGTAAGAGCTTCTGCAAAATTCAAGAGGTCCTTTTTAAAAGCAAATGATGCTCAAAATTTTCTTGAATAAGAGGTAAGGTTTTATTAATGCCTAAGGTTGCAGGCAGTATGTTCAAGATATATACGTCTCTATATTATACAACGGAGGGAAAAAAAGGCCATAAAGAAGACAAAAAAACTAGACTACTCTTGAGTCAAATGCACATAGTGCAGGTACTTTTATGACAGA